GAAACAAGTCTTTCTATTCCTAATTAACTAATATAATCTAGATTATGAAGTAACCAATATATACGTTGAATATGAAACTAAACTACAAAGAATGAGAATAAGGAGAAAACAATATATAAAAGGATCTAGGGGATAGGTTCACCAATAGATAATACTCCAGGGTAAAACATAATAATCAATCATTGACATTGCATAAATAACATGATTAACAGGCTCTCGCGGATTATTAATCAACATAGATCTAACAGGCTCTCGCAATTTACTAGATCTAAGTTCCTATTGAAAATAGCCTTTAATATCAAATTAACATCTGCTTGATTCATCAATTTAATATTTCTATACTTTTACAACGTTAAAACAATTCAATAAATACCAACAATCAATAATAGTCAATCATCAATGCATCAATTAACCAGATTGTAAAGGGCTTTCGCTACGTATTACAATCACAAAATTAATCTACCGGTATTAAATCTCATCTCTCGAATCTTGACTTAACCATTTATAAATTAATCCGCCTATTGAAACTAGACCTAAACATCAATTCTCATCTGTCGAATCTCGAATCAATATTGTCGAACTCATGTATAAAAGAATAGGCCTAATCTAGTCACAGAGCATTAAATCAATCAATAGGAAATTAATCTAGCATTGATAATTAACAACAATAAATTACCCCTTCATATTATTTAAGGATCCCCATAAACCCTAGAAATAAAACTACTCACACATAATAGAAACTAAACTAATCAAAGCAATACAGTAAGACATAATTAAAGGAATAGAATAAATAACTAAGATTAAGAGAAGAGAAATAGTTACCAAAAAAATCTGGAATTAAGAATGGATTAAGAACAAAGGTTTAAGAGGGAGAGAATCTAAGAAAACAATTAAGAGAGTAAAGAAAGAGTAAAAGGAAAAAGAGAGAGAGCTAAAATCGTATTACGGAGAAGTATTTATACTTCGTACAAATCTAAACTAAAACAAATTAAAATGACGCTAATCGTCTCCTAATAAATACACGCGCCCGATCGGGCGCGCCTTTTTGCTCGTCAGTACCAATCTCGCGCCCGGCCGGGCGCGTCACCGGGCGCCAGCCTTAGCTTCTCCCGCCCAGCCTGGCGCGCCTCCGGGCGCCAGCCTCTTTGGCCGGGCGGCTCTCTTGGGCCACTATTTGGATACGATTGGGCTCCAATTCTTCGGGCCAATCTGGGTTTCCTCTTCCGGTCTTGAATACTCGGCCCAAATACCCCGATATCACCTATACGAGCCCTTAATCACCGGTTCGATGGCTCTAACCGGCCCTGGGCTATAAAATCTGGTCGTGTTTCTCCAATGCTCGTGATTGCTCCAAAATATCTCGGGATAATACTCCAAAAGCATAAATCCCTGCAAAAGTCAACCAAATCTACAAAAACACTAGAAAACACCAATTAGTAATAAAAGTGGCTCTAAAGAGAAAAAACACTACTAATTACGACCAGAGGACGGGAATAAAATACTATATAAAATAGACGCATCATATATACAAAATATTTTAATCGGATTCTAATTGGGTTGGAAAGTAGACTTCAAGAGCTTTCCAACGACATATTATATGACTTATTTGGACTTCTAGATAAAAAGATATGATAAAAACAAAATCCGCAAAAACTGTCTTGCATCGCCAAAAGACAGGATTGTCGCTAGGCGACAAAGCCTGTCGCTTGGCGACAAAGTCCTGTCGTTGGCGACAGAGACGTGTTTTTATACCTTTTCGAACTCTGATTCGTTTCTATCGATTCCAGACTATTATTCTTATATATAGGGTCCCTTGACCTCCGTTTTCAATCATCAACTTATAACCAGAATTCTCTAATTCTTTTCTCTCTCTAAGCTAAAGATTATTCTTCTATCTCTCTCTCTCTCTCTCTCTCTCTTTCTAGCCTAGCCTTTTACAAACACAATTCCTCATACATTAGCACTAGACACACCTAGCCAAGTTCGAAGTTGCCTTCGCCCTAGACGTGAAAGGTTTGATATATCTGAGGGTTTGGTCCTAAATCTCTATTTCAATTATTTAATTTAATTGTTTTTATTTTATTATTTCCCTTGAAGTTAATAACGCGTGTATTTTGTTATTAGAAGGAAAAACGAGGTATCCAAGTAAGTGCTTTAATTTTTTTTTATTGATATTTTGACATAGAAATCATGTTAAGGTTGTTATTTTGATTCCTAGTATCATGTTAGGATGCTTTTCCTAGTATCATGTTAGGATGGTTTTCTTAGTATCATGTTTAGGGCAAAGAATAAGTTTCTATATCAATTATGATTTCTATGATGCTTCCTATTTTCTTTCTTAATAGCATGTTAGTATCATGTTAGGGCTAAAGCTTTGATCTTTATTGTTTAATGACATGTTAGGGTTAGCTTTGTTAGTATCATGCCTAGGATCTTGCTATTAATATTATGTTTTAACATGATTAATTTAATTATTATTATTATTATTATTATTATTATTATTATTATTATTATTATTATTATCTTGATGATTATGATGGTTATTATTATGTTGCTTGATGTATATTATTTATTGTTATTGCTTGATCACACCTTTTATGCATGTTTAAAGGGAATTTGTACTTGTAATCAAGCTTAATAAGATAATTAATAATCTTGTTTAGGGTTAATTTGATTATAATTCAAGTGATCACCAATTATAGGTTATTTGTGCATTAATATTCAACCAACATAGATAGATAGGTTTAGGGTTAACCTAATGATCGCATGTTAGTCAGAAAGCGCACATGAATACGAGTAGAGTAAAGTAGAGGCCTATTATTAGGGCAGGTTCTTTCTCTTTTAGATTGGATTTGTACCTTCATCCCTGAACTTCCAGTCTTGGTTCTAGACCTATTGGAGTTAACGATCTCCTGGATCGTTAAGGGGTGTAACCTTCACCTTGTGAAAGGTTTACAAGTTCCTAAAACTTGTTGGCTTTAATAGGATGCCCACGTGTCTCTGAGCAGGAGAGCTTGACAGACATGTCCACGCGTCTCCGAACAAAGAGCTTTGAATGATATGCCCACGCGTCTCTGAGCAAAAGAGCTTTTTGATATGTCCACGCGTCTCTGAACAAAAGAGATTTGATGATACATCCACGCATCTCTGAAAAAAGAGCTTTGATGTGTCCACGCTTCTCTGAACAAAAGAGCTTTGATACTTGAATGTTTGTTGCGATCGTTCGGTTGGCTGCGAAGAGGAGCTTTGCTGAATAGTTGTATCCTGTAAAAAACAAAAGATCGCCAAAAGACTTTGTTGGTGCCTTTCTTAGGGTTGACTTTAGGCTTGATGCTTTTTCTTTGGGTTGACCCAAGACTTATTGACTGACTTGAGGTTGACTCTATGCGACTGACTGACTGACTTGAGGTTGACCCAATGCCACCATTACTTCATTTTAATTTTAATTCAAGCAACCAAGTCCCAAAACCCTAATCCTCTCTTTCTCACTCACGACCCTGTCTCTCCCCTCCCCTTGTCCGTACGGCCGACCCTCCGTGGTGGTTCGTGGTTGGTTTGTTGCTCTCTCTTCTCCATAGAAGGTCAATTGAAGGGTTCAATTACAACTAACTAGCATTAGTGGAGGGTTAATCCGTGCTTGTGGACCAAGTAGAGGAATCACACTTGAGGTTCTTTGTCTCCCTTGTTCTTGCTCGATCATACGTGGAATCACGCTTCAAAGGTATAATTACTTATTCTTTATGTGTTGTGCATTGATCTTGGTTATTAGATGCTTATGAATATGATTCATGAAATTCCTCTTAGAGTATCTAAATCCCTACACTTTTTGCCTCAGCCCGGCCCAAAACTCGTCCCGGCCCACCTAATTATCACCTCTAACCAAACATTTGATGCATTTTTTTTAGAATTGCAGGGAACATTTTATTAAAACATGTCAATTTCTGCCAAAGTTAAGAGACTTTGAGGAAACAGACTAAGACATACAAATTCATCACAGTTTCTAGTATCCCACCTCCCCGCTCTCTTAACATGAGAAATAGTAAACAAAACAAAATACTTCGAAAGAACTAAAATATTATTAATCATAAGATAAAAAAGAGATAAGCCCGACCCTTAGCCTTCTTTTTAACACTCAACACCACCTTCAATGAATCACTTTCAATCTGTACCTTCATGTAGCCAATCCTTCTTGCAATGCTTAAACCAAACACCATAGCATTAGCTTTCGCATCATTCACACACCACCCCTTGCTTCCCCTTCTTTCTGCAGCCACACGGATACTCCCACTATCATCTCTAAGTATCACCCCCATTTAAACATCATTATCACCATAGTGTCATAATTAATTTTCATAACACCCAAAATTAGGCAATACCATGAATTATTACTGGTAGGAGCAACCCGCACTATGTTGAGGGTGAAATTTTGCAGCATAGACATTATAATCTTGGACTAGAGTGGACATACCTATAACAACTGCCACTGAATCAAAAGGTTCATTATCAAAAAATTGCTTTGTTCCTGCAGTGCCACGCTGCCAAGCAGAGAGCTTCCATGGTAGTTTGTTCCTCCTTTGATACTCTTTCACACAACCATAGGAACCTTGTAGTGAAGCTTTCATGAGGGGCTTGATCGGTTAACTACCTAAAATTGCTATTTTGCCATATATTCATCGTAGCAGAACACTCAAACACGATATGGATGATAGACTCATCACCATTCCCACAAATTGCACAAGATTTGTCATCAAGCACATGGTGATAAACAAGTCTTGCACAAACCTCAAGGAAGCCCTTGCAAGCCCTCCAAAAGAAATGACGGAACTTTGGCGGTGCATTCAAGTTCCATATTAGCTTCCATACCCTATTCTAAGTATCTCCACTGTCAAAATAACCACTATTTTTGCTCATCCATTAACCCGAACGAACATTATATTCACCATTTTTGTTTGGCCACCAAAACATAGTATCACGAGGACACCGTTGTGCAAAGGGATTGACTAAAAAAGTGGTCGTTCTTCCGCAATAAAGGTGTTATTCACTGCATTGCAAGTATGATCGATCAAGTCAATTACTCTTAAGTCTATGTTGCTAACAACCGAAGAGGTAGGAACCAATGTTGAAGTGTTACCTAGCAACCAAGCATATCTCCATACACTAATTGCACTATCATTTCGCGCTCTCCACTTCAACCCATCAAGAAGTAAAGCTTTAGCACCCCAAATACTCCTCCAAGCATAACTAGGATCAAATCCCACATTTGCCTCCAATACATCACAATTCTTATAAGACCATATCCAATGGTGAAACTCAACTTTGAGTATTGAAATACAAAATGAGTTGTTTTTCCTCTAATGGTGATACCCAACCCACTTCTCAATTTAGCAACTCATGTGAAGTCTATTTTTTCAATGGTGAGACTTTCCAAAGTACACTAATGTTACTTTCAATTTATGGCTCACCAAATCATATTTTAAGTTTTTTTTAGAAAAAAAAATACAATTTAAACTTAAATGAATTACAAAACATATTATAATATTAATAAGGGCCCACACTTTTTGTCAAATGAGACTCAAAGTTGAGTATCTAAACTTAGCAATTTTCTTTAGGATTTATTATTATTATTATTATTATTATTATTATTATTATTATTATTATTATTATTATTATTATTATTATTATTATTATTATTATTATTATTATTATTATTATTATTATTATTATTATTATTATTTTTATTTTATTTTTTTTTGAAAAAAGGAGTTGCTAAGTTTAGATACCAACTTAATGGTATCTTTTGCAAAAAACACTATCTCTCTCCTAAAAAAGCTCACTCATGTCTCACCATTGGAGAGGGTCTAATACTTCGCTTTAAGAACTGCAGGCAAAAGAGATTACGTATTATGATGAGGGCACCAAAACTGTTTTGCAAGTAAAGCTTGGTTAAAGCAGCGAAGGTCACGGAATCCCATTCTTCCCTTACCCTTAGGTTGACAAAGAAGGTCCCATTTTGCCAGTGTATTTTCTGAGTAGTGTCACTAGAGCCCCACCAAAATGTAACACCCCCAAATCTCCTTCTACAAAAAATACCAGTATAATACATATAATTATACCATAGAGGTAGACTTAGACTTGTTACCGCCGCGTGATTACGCAAGGCTACCAACATTAGTAACCAAAATCAATACTTTGCAGCAGAAACTTCAATACTTTCTTTATTAAAATAACTATAAATAGTAACCATTGTCATGAGTACTTATAAATAAAACAAAGACCAACATTCCTAATTCTATGTGCAGAACATTCCTGGGACTCCATATGCTCATATGTTGATTCCACCTGAAATTAGTCAATGCTGCTTACCGTTAAGGTAAACAGTATAAGACGAACCAAAATAAATAGAATATACGGATTAGCAAAACATGCTAAGTATAATAAGTGCAAGATAAGTAAACTCAATTTACTAGCAAACATGCTTTCAAAACAATTCCAATAATTCAAAAATTCCAACTCAAATTCCAAAACCAAAACCAATTCCAATAATTCAATATTTTAAATAATTAATTTAATAAAACCAATTCCTCTTTTAAAATTCAATTTTTCGTCCTAGTATGCACACCCCCAAGCTAGTCTCCTTATATTGCAAGGCTATTCTTGAGGAAATACTTGGTCATACAAAGTCCAAAGTCTTAGCAACCAAATTCTCATAGTGGGATTGCTAACAACATGCTTGTAAAGCTTTAATAAGAATAATCAAAATTCCATAAATCCTTTTTTATTCCAATAATTCCAATCTAATTCAAAAATCGTTTTTATTTAATTCTACATGCTTCCAAAAAATCAAACCTTTTAAACATGATAGATAATTTTAATCATTCAAAACATAATATAAAAATTTAATCTTCCAATTTATTTATTAAAACAGATTCTTTAAACATATTTTATTTCATAAGTCATAATTTAAACCAATTAAATTCAATCACCAATAATATCATATAAAATATGCTACTCAAACCAATCACTTTCAAAATGTATTTAGCCACCTAAACATACCTTTGATCAATTTTTGCTAGCAACACCAAAACGAACTTCAAGAACTCTTTTCAAATACACCCTACAATTAAATATAACCTCAATCAATATAAGGTTAACTAATAATCACAACAATTAAATTAAAAAACCCTAACTATATGTACATGAACCTTATAAATTATTTTCTCATAAACATGAATAAAAATCTGATTCTCTTTAATTAAAACTACTCCTAATAATTTTTAGAAATCCCCCATAATAATAATAATTAATTAATTAAATAAGAGAAGAAAAGGTAGAAAACCAAGGAAAAAGAGAGAAGAAGGTGGCGGCAAGGGTGGCAAATGGAGGTTGCCGGAGCTATGATCTGCGGTGGTGCGTGGCAGTCGACGGTGGTGGGTGGTGGTCGTGGTGATTGGTGGTGGTGGTGGAGCAAGAAAAAGAAAAAGAAAAGAGAAAATTAAAGAGAGATTAAGAGAGAATTAGAGAATTGGTGTGAGTGTTTGTCCATGAATCAACGGGCATTTATAGGCTAGCTCATGTATGAATTATGGTATGAGAATGTAGGAAGAATTATGGTAAAAGGAATTAAGGAATTACTTGGAGATGAGAATAAAATAATTATGGAAAGTTTTAAAATTAAGGTGATAAGAATAATTAATTTAAGGAAAGTGTATTTTCATGAAAAATAATATAGCAAAGGAGATTTATTTGGAGAATAATCAAGGATGATATAAGGTAGGATAATAAGGTGATCAAATATTTAAAAGGTGTGGAAAAATCAAGGAAAATAATAATTCTGAGGAAGATAATTGTAACATAAATTACCAAAATAATTTCCCCAAAAATCAACCAAGACGACCGAAAATATTGAGCTTCCATAGCTCAAATTTTCATACCTCCTTAGTGTATATTAAGAAGTTATTTTTCTAAATTTAAGTGATTAAAAATAATTGTGCAAAAAATGTTTATTGTATAAAATAATTAAATAAAAGAATATCAATTTTTCACTAATTAATTTAGCTAAGAAAATTAGATTTTCTACAGTAGGAAAATTCAGAAGTCATAGCCAATCAATAGGAATTTCACTCCTTTAATTAAATAGTAAAATATAATTTTCTTAATTAAAATATCCGAAATATACATAAATAATTCGGTTTTTAAAAATAAAATAAATGGATGATAAATCTTAAAAAAAATTTCAAATAATTAGGTTTTAAAATAATTTTGGTTCCAAAATTCAAATATCATTTTTGTTTAGGGTAAAATTACTCCCAACACGTGGCCCAAATTAAAGGGCGACACGTGTCATCTTCCTATAAGGACACCTAAATGAGAGAAGGCCTCCTTAAAACAGGTGGATCAATTCTTGAGAAAGCCGCAAAAGCAGCGCCCTAAGGGGACATGTGTCCTCTCTTGATTGCGCTGTCAATTAGAGCGCGCCATCCTAGGTCACTAACCCTAAAAGGGCACAATTTCTCACCCCTATAAATACCCCAATCATTTATGATGGGAGGGGTGGATTGTGACATAACATTGGAAAGAGCATTAAGAGCTCCAACTTATCTCTACTTTCTCTCTCTAGCCTTTTTATTTTCGGTTACTTACTTAATCGTCGGAGGTGAAATTCTAGTAAACAAAATATTCGTTATTTTACAAGTGTTCGAGCCCACCAGTCCGAGAGCGCGACCACTATCGTAAGGGAATCATAAAAAATTCCGGAACAATTAACGTCGTTTTGGAGATACTTGTTCGTTATGGCATTAGATGGTAAGACACCTAACACCGGTCCCTGTCCAAGTCAGGACAGACATGTAGAGAATTTAATTGCAACAATGAATACCAGTGATCCTCTGACCGCCTCATTCCATGAGGCCGAGGATCCTCCAGTGACTGCTGATTCCCTCCAGGTTGCCCTGTGCAAGCTTCGAAGAGAGCTTGAAAGTAAGATGCCTCTTACTTCTAGGTAGCTGCCTAGGAGATAAGGAGAAGACCCTCAGAGGAAAGCTCTGATCAAAGCGGCCAATGCCGAAGATGCTGGAAATACCCCATTCCACCGACCCGGACGGTCACCAAGGGTGCCACAGAAAAATGTGTCTTGGCTCCTTGAGAAAACAATGTCGGCAGGGGGCAGACCAGACAACCTCAGAAGAAAGTAACTGAGCCGTCTCGACTTTAGAAGGATGCAAGAGAATACACTCAGCACAAGCAGCTAGAGCGGGCAGCATATTCGGATACTGCTTCCACCCCAACCATGCCAGATGATCTCTCATACCACACCCTTTCCAAGGATACTAGCTCAGCCAGGATCAGCAAAAGTCAAGCTCACCGTACGCCAACTCCAATTCTAGTAGTTTAAATGCTTCAATATTAAATTGTAATACTCTGTATTTTATTATATTTTTATATATTTTATTTATGGGAAATTCTACATGGTGGCCTCCTACTTTTAACTTTTCCACATGGGAGACGATGTTTTTTTGAATCTCTAAAGTGACATCTAAATTTCTTTAATTTACAATTAGTGGCCTAATTGTCATTAAATGGGCTAACCATCTCCTAAATGGCTCATTTTTTAACTAAATTAGAAAAACTACTAACCTAACCCTGATTTAATTAATCCCCTCCCCTTTTTATTGTCAGTTTCCCGCCTAACATCAATTCCCCTTTTCCAATTCGTTTTCTAGGGTTTCATCTGCAATTTCAATTGCGAAAAAAAAGCATTGCATTTGGGTAAGGATGAATTATCAAGGACTGTCTTTAAGGAGGAGGGGCGCATCTGATGCAATTGTGAGTTATTATGATGCTTCACCAAATTCAGAGATTGCTGCAATTGTGTTCTTGTTTACATGAAATGATGTACTCAGGGTAATGGAGGGAAAGGGGTAGTATGGGTAGCAAGTAGGTGAATCCTAAATTGTACGGGTTTTATGAATGAAGTTATGTAATTCTTTTGAGTATAAATAAAAATTGGGATTGGAAGTTTTATTGTCTATTACATTTAATGGATGTTTATTTATGGTATTTTCTTTAGTTATGTTAATTTAGCCAACAATTTTATGGAGTATGTTACAAAACAAATAGAAAAGCAGAATATGAATTAAATATGATATTAAAAGCCTGTTGCAATAATCTCATATGAAATGATAGCAACTAATATGAAATGATATTTTGCTTAAATATGATATCAAAAGCATGTTGCAATGTCTAGGATCTTTCTATTATTATGCTTTAACATGATTGTTTTTATTATAATTATTATTATGATAATTATTATTTATGATTATTATGTTGCTTGATAAGCAACTAATATGAAATGATATTTTGCATAAATATGATATCAAAAGCATGTTGCAATGTCAAAATACAGGACATTAAAGATTTAGTCAAAATAAAGATCATATATGTATCTTAGGCTCAAAAAAAAAAAAACCACAATACTTAAGCTTAGACTTAGTTCAGTAAGCTACATGTCACAGGACAACTTAGACTTTGTTCTTTCCTTTTGCATTTGTCTTTGACCTAGTAACAGTTTGGCTACTGGGACCCTCATAAGCTTTCTGGGAATGCTCAGTTTTATTAATGGAGGGCTCAGGTTGAGAAGCAAACTTAAGTGAGCTTCTTGTGAATCTTTTCTTTCCAATTGGCTGTGATGTGGAAGTGCTCTGTTCTGGCACTTTGTTTAGTAGCTTTCCTTGCTACAATTTTATCCCTAGCCTTTGCAATCTTCTTACCAACCTTTGCACTTTGCTCAGCTGCAGTGAGTCCACCCTTACAGGTCTTCTTGTTGTGACCATAGGACTGACACTTAGAACATTGCACTGTTGTTGACCTTTTCCCTTTGTCTGGTTCATCAGCTGCCCTTTTCCTCTGTCTAGATGGCCTACCAATGGCTCTTGTCATTTGTGGTGGTAGGATTGTGGGCATGTCAATCTCGGGCTAGTGCTCAAAATCAGGTACAGAGTGAATAAAGTTGGCATAATCTTGCTTATATGTTTGGACTGAGAACCATGTGCTGCAGAAGTTGTAAGGGTTCAATCTAGCAGCCAATATTGCTCTAACTGCATGTTTACAAGGCAAACATGAAATTTGCCATAAACCACAAATACAAGTTTTTTTGTTAAGTGATACAGGAAGCATAGACTTCCCATCCCTTGATTGATAAGCTTTTCAAGTTCTTGATTCAAAGGTCAACACCCTTATTCTCTTTAC